GTAACATTATGACTATGGTACAAGTAGCCAAAGACATGCCTATTTGTGTCTAACATTTGACTGTGGTATAACTTCATTGTCCTAACATCTCTACAAACAGGAAGAATTAATGCTATGAGATTCTTTAACTTTATGTCTGCAATTCAACCAACTCAATAAATTGGTGCTGTCATGATGTCGTCACGGTAAAAGATGCAGCACTGTAACAATGGCTTGTTGAAAAAGACACTCCTACAAGTGAAAACTCTGTGCTCCTTTGGTGTTTGTTTATGTGACTCATAAAACACTACAATATCTTATATTGACGCAGTTAAAATTAATACTGGTTTTACATTACAATTGTAGTAAAAAGTGGTGATTATAACTAGGCTTCGTAACCCTTAACTTAATGCTTAAGACTAACAACATAATTAGGCAACAGACTTCTGTCTTCTGAGCCAATCAGTGTTTGCCCCCAGCTACAGTGCTTCAATTACCTTTTTTAAATGCCAACTAAAGTTTATGTACAATTAGCATATTTGTATGTACCATTGGGAAATAATGATCTTATGCATAAAACTATTCAAATTATTTCATTTAAGGGCACAGTCTCAATGTCAGAGTTTGGATTTAAAATATTGCAATTTAATAGATCTTAGTGTATGTTATTTATTCTTGATTATTAGTTTTACCTGTGATTACCCTAGCCATTTCAATAGGTCATAAAGTAAAATGCTGGCAAGGTTTTAAGAATCTACTTCTACTTCATTTGCAATAAATTTGCTACTCTGTTAATTTTTTTGGGTTCATAAATATATTTTAAAAAACTGCACAGACCACTTTAGTGCTGAACGATACCATCATTTATAATTCGGAACATTACTTAATGTTAAGTTTACAGTTCAATAAGTTTAAATAAAACTTTGTTTATATCAAAAAATATTCTGTGTTTCTGTTGGTCAGAATTTCATTTGGGAAATAAATAATTGTTATCATTAGTTTCATGATGGTAAGGTTTTGTAAGGCCTTAAGCAACTATTTTCATTTGCAGCCATCTTACTGCAAGAAACTAAAATTAGCTACTTCATGAATAATCACAGTATTCATTGTGTCTGATGACAACTTTTACATCATAATCACTGTGAGAATTTCTAACAAAACAATTTTAACTAGAATGCCATGAAGGAAACAATGTAAAAAATTTGAATCTCTTCACAAGGCTAGGTGGACTGTCAGGACCAGATCTTCAACAGCTGCGACATCTCTTCCCTCTATTATTGTCGAAAATATCTTTGATAATAGAAATGAGGTAGGCAGCTTGGCACCACCACGCACTTGCAATCAATAGCACATCCTAAAACATTCTAAATAGATCTAGACTAATATAGGTGTCAAAGATGTGTTATAGACCTGAGGTCAGTGTTTTAAGGATGTGATATGTCTCGCAAGAGGACCCCACCATTTTTGACTAATTAAATTTTAACTTAGCACCTACACCATGCCGATGACATCCACACTATACACACCATGCAGTCTTATGGTTGACTGATTGTTCGTCTTTATTGTAGGAAGTTCATGTGACAGCTATGCCAAAGAGGGAAAATCAAAGTGATTTAGATGGATCAATGGAGGTCACTCCAATACATTTTAAAGAAATGATCCTGATTTCAGCTTGGATACTCCTGAAGGGCGCAACTCTGGTGAACTACCTAACAGTAATTTAATCGTCTTGGGTCAAGTATGCCAAATGTGTAAATTTATTGATCAGATTAATTTAACTTCCAAATGTGCCACACCATTATGTAACGGTAAGTTAAAACTTATTTGTGTTAGTATGATTGGTCAACAAGGTTGTATTACTTTATAATATCATTGTACTGGTTGTGCTGAGAGACGTATTGCATTTAAAAGCTTAATTAAGCATGAGACTGAAAACTGTACAGCAGTTGGTCTTGCCTTACAAGTTGCATTTATATGTTCAGGTGCAATGTATTCTCAATATGCTAAAGTACTTAAAAATGCTCTTGGCATGTATTGCGCAGGAAAATCAATATTTTATAGGACACTGGCTCTAATGTACCCACATATCAAGAGTATACTAAATGATATGTGTGAGCAAGCAAAAGAATCAATGAAGCAGAAGAATGACAGGGAGCTTGGATCTTTTGAAAATGCTGTGACATGTGGTGATGCTGCATGGTTAACACGTGGTCACCAAAGTCAAAATGCTACATAATCTTTATGAAACTATCAACCTGGCAGACTTTTGTACTATAAGCATTTTAATCAAAGAGGTAACAGTGATATATAACAGGAGATGACTTGTTTGAAGGTACATCAATATGTGCAGAGGCTGAGTGGGTTTTTAAAAAAGCTATAACTGATAAAATGAACCTTAGCATTCATGTGCAAGATAATGACAGTACTTCTTCAAAAGCTTTGCTCTCCAATTTTCCTAATTGTAGAATAATTTTGTGTAGTAGTCACATTGCACGAAATCATAAAAAGCATTTAAAAGGCTTGCTAAGCAAAATGTTTTGAAAGAAGCCAAATTAAAAACTACAAAAAAACTCATCCTGATATTGCTACAGTAAAGTATCACTGCATGAACGATGGTATTGGTTGTTTCACTAATGGCTTTATTAAGTCAGGTAGGATAAACTTTTCTGCTATAGTTAAGTCTGTTGGCTGTGACCAACAAGCATTTATAGATTGACTTCACTCAATAGCAAAGTACCATGCCAAAAATGTGCATGAATGGGATAGTGGGAAATGTTTCTTTCATGATTTAACTGTGTGCGATTGTGGAAAATGTAAGAAAACTGATATTACATGTCAAGGTAAGCCATATAAAACCAAGAATATTTTAAGTTGCCCATTCCATGGTCTTGCTTATGAAATTGCATGTGAAGCTGTTATTGCCAAAGCAAAACAAATTATCCTTGAGGAGTTAGGTTGTTACCACACTTGTATAATTGAATCATCTCATAATGTATTGCTGCAGTTTAGAACAAAGAATTTAAATCTGCAGATGCTTCACTATCATGTTTCCACTTCACTTGGGCTTATACAAAGTAACATGTCCTGGATGTATGTGCATAAGGGGCCAGCTTACCATTGGTTGCTTTTTCTTTTTGACAGAATGAGCCTACCTAGATTTGATGGTATGGCAGAAGCATTAAAAGCATTAAATGTTCTAGGTTTAAGTCTTTTTTAAGAGTCAAACAGTGTGATGTGAAATGTAAGAGAAGGCGAGCAAGGAAAAGGCATAGGCAATCTGAACAAGCTGCACATAAATTATGGGTCGAGCAACCTAAGACTTGTCACACATATGGTAAGGAAACACCTAAATCATTTCGTAAAAGGAAAGCAAAACGAGATGGGGAGATTAGTAAAACAAAAAGATGTAAACTAAGTGTAACTGATTTTGATCAGGATTTAGGCAGTGAGTGTGGCTCATTAGCTACAGAGATTGTGCATGAAACCATCACAAAAGATAAGGTAATTGATCAGGGAGTATACTATATTAGATGATAGCAATGATGACGATGAAAACTTTCTTTCTAGTTCTAATAGTATTGATAGCAGCATCCTGAATAGCTCTGGTATAGATAGTGATTTGGAAGAGTTTATAATCAGTTGTGTTAAATGAACTTGTAGTATTGAAAATTCTTCACACCAACAATCATGCCCACTCAATCCTAGAAACAAAGGTAAGTCTGCTGATGTTGAATATATGAAATCTGAAGATGCAATGCCTCTAGCAATAGGCAAAACACCTTCCACAGATTGGATGAATTGCTGCTTTATTGATACAGGATTATACTGGGGAGAATGTCATTGTCGATACTGATCCACTTCAAACTATGAAACATGCTGAAATATCTCCATATATCTGTCGTAAAGTAAAAGGAGATGGCAACTGTTTTTACTGAGCAATTTCTAAAGCTATAACTGGGACTGAAAAAGTCATATGCCAATTTGGTCAACTATTTGTACCTTTATAACAAACAATGCCTTAGAATTATCAAACTTAGTATTACCACACATGCGTAGTATTAGTTGTGAAAATGCTATGAGTACGATGAAGGCACATATACTACATAAAAAATCAAACCAATTTGGTACTTGGGCTTCTGAAAATTAAATTTTTATTGATGCCACTGTGTTTCAATTAAAGGTTCATGTTTCAGTACTGCCAACTCAAAAAAAAACTGCTGTTGGCATACAATCACTGTTTCATAATGAAGGTTGCCATGACTTATCAGACTGTAATATATATCTGTTTCATACAAATGCAATAAATCACTATGATTTAGTCGACTTCAACCTTACATATTTGTCATAATTTGCTCAGCAATTGCACTTATTTATTATATAAAATGATAATTGCTCACATGTGATAATTCCACAGAAATGAAATTACAATCAGCTTAATGCAAACAAGGTAAAATAATTTACACATCTCATTTCACGCATTTTTTTTCTCTTCAAGCTAGGTGGGTAGCGAAGCAGTACAACTTCCACGTGGTGCTACCTGGGATCTCCAAAGCTCCAAAGTCATGAGGCTGGAGATGCTAAAAGTACTGTGAAGTAAACATGTTACGTTCTCCTATCTCACACATCTTGTGCTCTTTTAATCCAGGAAGTGGTTGAATGATCCAGGATATCAATACTTGCAGAGCAATTATAAAAGGTCTTCAGTATAGGAATAGCATAAGCTCAGGTGTAGGAAGGAGTGGTACTTTAATTCTAATAATACACTTGTGATTCTACCAAACTCTTCCACTTAAATGAGAGAGCAATTTTTGTGGCTGTTAACACAGAGACAGAAATTTTTGATTCCTTTTAAAACTGTTGAATTTGTCTCTTTAATTATTAGTATTATTAAACTTTAAATGAGATGACAACCAAAAGTTAAAAAACAAAATTACTTGTTGAGATTAGATATGTTGAAGCAAAGCTCACGTAAATAAGCGAGATTGCTTGCATCAAATACATCACAAAATTTGGATACTCGTAAGTCAATTTGCATATCATGTTCCTCAGCTAAGGTCATTGTTCCATAACAAACTAGAAACTACAATGCCATAAAATTACTTTAAATTCACTACAATATACCTGCTTTCCTTCTATCAGAATGCCCAAAACATATTGCTCATCCCTCTCCACGCCTGTATTCTTTATCAAATTACCCACCATGTAAAAAAGCAACTGCCCAATGTCACTGTCTCTTGCATCTTTACAGGGGATGTCTTTGCAAAATTTACCCTAAAATAAAAGGATATCAGACCCACTAACAGCCATTCAAACCTCTACTATCACTATTGGTGAAGCAGTATTTCCCATCAGTAATACATCAGGTATTCCCTAATGATAAAAAAGTATCTAACAAAAAGCAACACAACAAAGATCTCACTGTGAGTATAGCTGTGTCTAAAGTAGCAGGTTGGCTGGGTCCTTTGTAAACATTGGTTAAATCATCTCAGTACTGGAATCTTCTCTGAGAAGATGATGATGATTCACTTTACTCCACTTCACCTGATATGGACTCTACTGTGGTTGTAGATTCTTTCTGATAATTGACAGAGGGTTGTTGCCTGCTGCTCTTTGGCTTGGGTGGTGTGGCACGATGTGTCACTTGTGATAGGATGAAAATAGCCTTCCATCTCAACTTGGAGATTCAACCCTCCAGCTTCCTCAATGCATTTTAGAGTCAAACTATAAATTAATGAAATAATGATTATTATAGAAGCTAATTTCTAATTAAAAACAGTAAAAACAAGATGGAATGGTATATATGTGGATTAAGAGACAGGTATTTATGAAAACAATCTTGGAAAATAACTTATAAGAATAAAAATCTCCTGTTCTAACTATGATACTGTGCTATTTACTTACAGTTTGCAGTTAGTACAATGGCCATTACAAAAACTGTAGAACTTAATCAAACCCAAGAGGACACTTGCAAATTCCTTGGCAGAAGTATTATCAGTGTTATCGATTACTAACTGCGTCATGGCAGTAGCTAGCCGCTACATCTCCAATGGCTACAAAATGACAATGACTGAAAAAATGAATTCACACTAACCATACAATAATTTGTGGAGGGTCACTGTGTTTTAAGTTCTGCCATGCCACCGTATGCAGCAAGCTAAACAAATTCTTGACATCCTTTGCCTGAGCACACTAAATAATGAGATACCGTTAATGCCCCACAGAAACAAAAAGTTATTTCATTACATGACAGTACGAATTGAAGTACCCATTAAAAATAATCTATGCTTTCCAAAAATTCTGTCTTGCATAGAATACTGTAAGTACCCATGTCATGGGAATTTCTGCAAGTTCATGAGTAGTGGGTACACTATGTAGGTTGGCATAACAAATTAAATACCACTCAATTCAAAATAAATAGCTGTGGCTTACATTGTGGCTCCTTATCTAAACTGATATTCATTGATACAGTAGTACTTCAAAGGTAAACAGGTCAACTACATTAACTATTGACCTGCTCTATTTTAAACACTTATTTTTATTTCCTTCAGGCTTTAATTGGGAATAACAGACAAAATAACAGCCAGACATGCAGTTTTCCCCACACTAACCACTGCTGAAGCATGTAATTAAGTATAAAAGTAAATAATGTTTTAATAGCATCAGGCAAAATTAACCTTTTCTGCACATAATAAGGCTCAAAGCACAGCATGCATGGTAAACAGTGAGGTAATCTAAATCAAAATTCTAACACTACAGACTGTACGTCAATACTACTAATCATGCCACTCAATACCTAGCTTTACAGTAATGGTGTAAATCAAAAATATTTTATACAAACAGCTAGTCCTTACCCTGAACATGATGAATGTTGCTTAATAGAAATTGAGTCCACCATTACGACTTTATTGACCATGATTTCATGATTATTGGAGTAAAATGTGGCCTTCTCCACAAATGATTCAAAGAGAACCAAAGATTTATAGTTAGTTGCTTTGAAAGACAACGGTGGTGACACTGAAATATTAAATTAAACAAATTAAAAAAAACTAATGAATCATAAATACCACATTTTATCTTCTTTGGCATTACAGTATTCCGCCACGCCTTGTTTCTCTTGACAGAAGTAAACCTAACAAATTTCTTTGAGCTCAAACAACAGCCATATAATTTATGCCTTCTTTCTGAAGATGATGTCAATTGCGCCAAATTCATGCTGAAAAGATTAAGGGAGGGGTTTGAGTACCAAGCGATCAGAGCTAGGGCAAAAAGGAAGGGACGACAAAAGGTGACATAGTTAATCAGATGCAAAGAAGGATGCATGACAGAACTGATATACCTGGTAATAGGAATGATACTGATAAAAATACCTAAAGTATGGTTTAGATGATGGGGCGCGGCGAGGTAGGCTGGGAAGACAAAAGTAGCTACTTGCCAGACCGCCACTTCAGCCAGTAAGTTTACGTCAATCTAGGCATAAATGTAGGGAAGTTAGATTAAAACAAACTGAATACCTGAAGACAAGAGCTGCATGGGTCAAGATAACTGCTGCAACTTGAGTCGGAGCTTCACTGACTTTACTATACTCGTGTCTCTACTCCAGACTGCATGCACACAATAGAGCAAGTATATACTTATTTGCATCGGATAGGCTACTAATCAGGAATAATTATTATAATCATAGCTATTTTTCCTCACATTCAATGAATTTTAGTATATCTAAAAATCTTGGTGGATTTGTTAAGTTCAGAAAATGGATAAAACTGCAATTCAAAATAGCCTAGATCTGCACCCTTAAGCAACACAATAAATTCTGTCCTGGATTTTATTTGGAAAACTCCACACAATATTTAAAATTTTAGCAGTAAAAAGGTGCTAGTGCTTATTGTGACAGTAAGAATCATGAGCACAATCTTTCCACAAGGTCAGAACAATATGCCATAGTACGAGTGTTAAAATTTGGCGAAAAGAAGAAATTTGACAATTGGACGTCAATTCATTGAATTTGTCAAATTTTACTTTACCAAATTTTCTAACTATTATGGTAAGATTGGAAAAATAAGTATTTTGGCAAGGCTCCATTTACACATGACATAAATTGGAAATGTTTGCCAAAATTTACGTACACAGGTGCAATTACATGTTCACATGTCAACTAACCTTACATTGCAACAGCTACAGCGACAATATAACAAAAATGCAAATTATGTAGATCAGAAATATTAACACTAAGTATAAAAGTCAGTGAGCTGTTATATTTTTGCAGCTGGACCACTTAAAAATTGTTAACCTGCAAAACTTCATATCTTGAACAAGTGCCCAATGGCAACATTGGACAGCATTTGGAGGAAGTTTTTATTTGTGACAGTGCTGGAACTGACAAGAAGTATCTTTGTTGACGGCACCAGTCCATGTCAAAGCTTTTAGAAAAGCCTTGTCAGTACATGGGTACACAACTAAAGTATTCGATATAGTATATTGTTGTGTGAACTGCTGTAACTACAAAAAGCTTTGACAAAGGAAATTTTATAATCTATAGTACAATGCATAAATTATTTGAAATGATGATTTGCATGCATGTTGTCAATGAGCAACAGAAAAATTTTTAAGAACATGACATGCATTTGTTGTGCTATGTGATTTAAATTGACTTAAACAACATTTTTAAACAATTTTAGAAGAAAAATTAAAGTTTATAATCCAATTTGACATGTATATCCTCTGCCATGCATGCTGTCAAAATTTTTTGAGTATTCAAAAACATAGAAAAAAAATTATGCATCGCTTTCATTTTAATAAATGCAAAAGTTGTATTTTATCTTAACCAGAATTTGACACACTGCGTCTTCTGTTGAGCCTTGAAATGCTTTGTCCGACTCAGTGAACTGGAGTCCAACAAGAGGTGCCCTTCATGTATGTGTAAGTGGCCCCAGAAACTCCATTTCTAACTTCAGAGTCTACTGAAGAACATGGCAGAGGCCTATATACTTTATTTATGAATGACTCAGATGCTACATCTCACCATGATGTAGCTTTGACAAGTGAGGACAGGTCCAGGCCACCATTTGGATCACCCTCATTAGCAGTACCTACATTGGCTTGAGTACTGGAGCCTAATTTATTATATGGAGTGCCAATCTTTTATTCTTTCTGAGTTTTGCCTGAGGGCAGGTTACAGCCCATGGTGTTGAACTAGCAGACACAGAGGCTTAATTAATTGAATTACGGTAGACTATCTCACTGTTAGACGAGTCAAATGATAGCTTACGACCTTGCAGTTCCTCCTAAATGAAAAAGGAAGACACTAGTGTCAGCCCTTTTGATTAATATACTCTATTACGCTAACTTCACAAGCAGTTAATTGGAGTAGGTTCCTCTATAAGCCTATTAGTTACTGTTCACCTGTTCAGCGTTCAACTGTTTATTGCTCTTTTATTCAAGTTACTTTTGTTGGACCTTGTTTAATAATCAAGGTACAAATGAATGTGTCTAACAATGATGTATGATATATCCTATAGAAAATGCCTAAGACACGAGCTAAGACCAAAAAAATTGACAGGGGACCCTAGGAAAATAATTCATCATTTGGGAAAGAAAAGTTCGGAAAAGGTATGATTTCATGTAACTCTGTCTGTAGTTGAGCATAGCTAGTGAATGAGAATCCTCTATAGAAGAGTTGCAGTGGAAGTACATGTAATTAACGAGCACAGTACCCTTGCCCGTACTTCAACAGTGTGGGCGAGGGCAATAAAGAGAGTTGTGGCTCATTGTCAGTCATCTTAAGTGGAATTAAAGGAAAAGTCCGATGAACTAGTACTATCAATAGCAAGCAAAGGAACTATTTTACTTATTGCATTACTCCTGAATGAATAGACTTTTATAGTAAGTTGTAGCACCACTTCACTTATTACTACAGCTAAGTATTTTGTTGTAATATTGTTGTTTTATACTTGTATATCTATGATAAAAGAATTGGCATTAGCTGTTTTGCAAATGTTTTTGAAGCTTTTGTGGGGTATAACTATTTCTTAGGATCCGTAGAGTATGTCATTAAATATAAAAAATTCGTGATTATAGAGTGAGAAAATAGTGTTCAAATGAACTATTTTCTTCCTACATAATGGTGTGACTAGGCACTATTATACAAATATATAATTTGACTATCCATGTAGGCAGAAATTAGTGCCGAGCACTACATAGTCCCTAAAATACTATAGAAATAATATAGTGCCTGCTGCACTATTGTGTTCCTACAATACTATAGGGAAGAATTAGTGCCTTCTGCACTATTTTGTCCTGAAATACTACAGTGTAAAATTAGTTTTTGCCGCACTATTTTGTCTCTAAAATACATTAAGGAAGAATTAGAGCCTTGTGCACTGTTTTTCATAATGTAAGAGCACTTTGCTTCCCTCATATACTGTAGTGAAGAATTTTGGAGGGAATTAAAGTTGGTGGACTAGGCATTTTCATAGCGACCCTC